GGGGTGTTGGCTTGGCTGCAGTTCTGAGTGTTACCTGTAGGGGGCTGCAAAGAGTTAATATTGGGCTTGACATCATGAAGGAAGGGCGACTTGACGTCTTGGCCAGGGGACAAATATGGGGTCATCGAACTGCCGGGGGTCATGGGAGGAGTGGGGTTTCCTGGGAGAGGAGAGCTGGGGTATCCTGGCATTGCACGTCCGGGCTGTGAAAGACAAGACGTGTGCACAGGCATTACAATCTGCGGCCAGATTATCTTTACAGTCAGATTTTCATAACCGATACAGTGCAAAAACACATTCAACTGAGTGGAGTTTGGACCCCGGCTGCCAAAGTCAGATCGAGACACTCACACGAAATGGTGAAATATTAACAGGCAGCTCCTACCGACTCAAACACACCAAACACACATGCATGCGAGAGAGAACACCAACCCCGTTGACGGCGGCTTGGTTGAAGGTGGTGTACCCGGCTCCCGAAACTCCTGAGGACAGACTGCTGTGGCTGTTGCCCTGTCCGTTAAACTGGTCCGCCTGCTAAACAAACACACAGCTTTCAACATCAGGCTTAAAACAGAGCAAGTCAACTCTGGTAAAGCATAATTATAGGGAGCTTGGTGCAGTGCATTCTGGGATTGCTTCCTCCACAGAGATACATAGTTTAGAAATTTGCCAAAAGAAGGTATCTAACATCTTACATTTACACTATATAGGCAGCTCATTAGATTTTGGAATTGAGCTTAAACGTGCACTTGTTTAGTGCCCACTACAGTGATATGACAATAGTGATAATCTACCACTGTAATTCCAAACCCGGCACGGACTTTAAACCACCCAGGTTGGTTTGCCTTTCACTGGTACTTCCAAAAAATCTTTTCACGACAACTTGCCTCTTTAATGTTCACTGACGTATTTGTCAGTATCAAATGCCAGTGTGTTTCTCTAAAAACGGCAGCCTGTTTATCACTAATACGGAGTTATTCGGGTAACTAAAGAAGACAGACAGAAGATTATGACGAAAGGTTATGAATTGCATTGCACTCGTGTCATAAAATAAATTTAACAATGCTGCTGAATAATGTGACCCGGCATATTAGTAGAACGTGGCGTAAGAGGAGCTGATTATTCACGTTGTCGTAGCAACAAGGTGTTGGTCTGGCGAGCCAAGGGGGACGCTGACTGCTCCAAGTCAGTGATTCACAAGATTTATTGCGATGCAAATTGATCTTAAGGGACGCCAGCATGCGTGTGTTTCTGTGAGTCAGCGCAGGGGTGGACCGTTACAGCGCACACATCCCCCACTGTGGTGACGTCCGCCGGCTGCCTGACGTCACACAACTTCCACGAGGAGCAGAGACTAAATACAGCCACACAGACACTGGACAATATTTGCTTTCCTCACCTGCCCCCATATCCAGGCCCGGCTGGATATATATATATATTACACATATATATTATCTTTGATGTCTATATTATTACCTAGTGTTTACATGAATTATTTCAGGAAAACATGAAGCAAATTGTTTAATTGAGAAAATTAATTGCATAAATATAGTAATGAATAAATATCAATTACTTAAAAATAAATGTAATGTAATTTATATATATATATATCTCTACAGGTTATTTATTAGTTGTACTAATTCGTCAAAAAGTTACTTATTAATCAAAAAATTACAATTAATATTAATACATAAAAAGCAGTGTGTTCAATAGCATACTAGTTATTGCTGGAGTTTGGAAATTAAGAAATTTCACTGGTATCTGTTTTGAGTCAGATGTGACCAAAAGAAACAATGTTTTGATTAATAAAAAATGATTATTATTATAATAATTAATCATTTAATTATAATCAATAAATAATGAATGTACTGATAAATAATTTTTACAATTAAGTTTATATTTTTTAAGTAATTCATATTTATTCATTACTATATTTAAGTATTTCTCAGTTAAAGAAGAACTGCTCTGAATGATTCTAAATGATCGATTAACTGGATCTGCTGATTCATTGACAGCAACAAGAATGTTTTGTTTGATAACCAGACACGAGCAGGACATCCCTGGAACATGCAGTGCTTTCTTTGAGGTAAACAAGCTGGTGACATCATCACGGCAGACGGCGTTTCTTACCTGGCTGGGTGAAGGATTGGTTACCCCCCACACTGTGGTTACCACAGAGAGGGAGCCGGCAGGCTGATTGGGGCCTTGCTGCCAGGGGACAGGATCATATGGGTAAGAGGCGTCACTGCGGGGCGAGAGAAACAAATAGACACTGGGGTTATTAATGCATCTGAGTGCTTCCTGTATAAAACGCCCTTAATTCACTTCTCACTGATCCGCCTTGCATTATCCACATTATATTACATCTACGTCTTTTGTGCTGGTATGATATCAGCATATGGTGTGAAGTGTGAGTGTGAGAGAGAGAGAGACGATCTTTCTGCGACTTCAGACATGCCACAGCCACATGCTCTGGAGGTACTCGGCACAATGTTTCCATGGCGACTCCACAGTCACTTAGAGACAGAAAAGAGTAACGATGCCAAGGGAGAGGGGGGTGAGAGAGTAAGTGTGTGTTGTGTGTGTGTGTCTACTGTTTTCTGTGTAACTGGATCAAACCAGATCACTCTCAATAATCGCTCGCCATCTTTCCATAATTAGCCAAACTACATCACACGCTGATTAGAACAGGGAAACATGGAACTTAGCTAGAGTTGACGCCATATTTCATTTGACTTGAATGACAACGAGGCTGTAAGGGATTAATGTTGTGAATCAGTTGTACTGTTATGTACATCGTTCCTCTGGAAAACATGTAAGTATTAGACCTGAATTAAAGCTATGAAATCTATTGAATGGACTACTAAGGTACATCTACCCTTCACAGCCTTTCATTCATGTCATTATATATGGTGTTTACCCTCATAAATGGGCTAAAGGTGCACATGTATGCCTCCAGAAGAACAACATTAGAAAGACTATCGGGTAACCATCAAAACTTGCACCTCAATCTGCATTTTAGGGACTGGAAAAAAGGTCTTGATGGATAGGAATGTGCCCATTAAGCTAACTTGGGACAAAAAGGATGGGAACAGAGCCCCAAAAAAAAAACAATATTAGATAACACCGAGTTGGCTGGTAACTTGTTTTATGACCTGTAACAATGCATGGTCAAACCATAAGGTGCAAACGACACTCAACACTGGCTGGTGCAAGTGACATGAGTGAATCATATTTTAGGAAAAATAGAAACTGTGGCAAAAAACATCAGTGACTGTCATGCATCTTCAAAACAACTTGAATAATTTATCATCAGAAGTTCAGCCAAGAAGCCAAATGCATTTTTTATTGTCGTCGTAAATCCAAAACCAAAGGAAAACAGACACCACCATTCAAAAGTTTCAGGGTCAGTTTTTTTGGGGAAATAAAATGGATACTTTTAATCCAACAAGGATGCATTAAATTGATCATAAGAGACAGTTAAAACATTTATAATTTTCCAAAAGATTTCTACTTTTATAAAATTATGTTCTTTTGAACCTTCTATTCATCAAAGAATCCTTAAATTAGTCACAGCTTCTACAAAAACTGATAATTATGCTGAAAATTCAGCTTTGCATCAAACAAATAAATTACCATTTTAAATATATTAAAAATATATAGCTATTACATAAAAATATATATTACATATTTCTATATTACAATACAGAAAAGTTATTTTTAAATTGTAAAACATTTCACAATATTGATCAAATAAATTCAGCCTTGATGGGCAAAAGAGACTTGCAAAATAATTTAATTTAAATAAGTTAACAAAAGGGTGAGTTCACTAAATGAGCTCTAAATGGTCTTGTTTTTGTCACAGTTTCAACAGTGATTTAATTGCAATACTGTGATGCATTGCAATATATTGAATAAAGTGACTTAAATTACATAAAAAAAAACTTAAAATACAGTTTAATGGTCAGTAAATCATCTCAGGTCACTACTCATTGGCAGGGGTGCCAAAAACCTTGGACACCGAATGGGAGCATTCCAGGTAAAACTTATCCAAGCGGGAACAGCTAGACTGTATCAAGAAAATTAAACCTGTGAGGGTTTATCGAGTGATAACTGGCTCTGAGCAGCTTCTAACCTGAACTGACCCGAGACAACTCAACCCCACCGCCACATGAAAGACTCCTCTCTTTAAAGCCCTCGAAGAAAGCCGAGATCCCCTTCTTGACACATTTCCACCTCGACCTGCGGCAAAGTATCCGCTGGCCTGCAGCCCACAGGATATTGAGGTTCCAACAAAGGCTCAAAGCCTCGTTGAGGCTGGTCATTGCTCTGCCAGGGCAAATAAACAAACTGAACTATCGGCGGCTTAGAGGCATTCCATAGGAGGCAGAGGTTTCTTTTAAAGTTCTTCTACTAACCACCAGATACCCCTGCGCTCTGAAACAGGAAACTGTGGTTTCAAAGCCAAATCCTGCAGCAGCCAATCAGCAGCTGAGAGACAAAGCAGCCAATCAAAATGTAAAAAAACCCAACACTTGTGCAGATTGAGAGTTCAGTAAATGAGAGGAGAAGGTGTGGGCGCGAGGATTCAGTTTAGGGCCCAATGCATGTGCTGCTGCGGGCAATTTATTTTCAGTGTACTGCGGTGAGAGCGAAACGTCAACTTCCACTTTTTCTACATGTTCAGACTTTTGCTTCATTATCACATCTAAAGCAACATAATTCCCTTTATGTGCTCAAATATCAGTAAAACTAATGAAAATGTACCAAGTACACCTACCTACGGTATCCTAAAATATCCTATAATATCCTAAAATATATATAGAAAACTATAACTAACTATATAAACTATTAGGGATAAACTATTTAACTATTTACATGACATTTATGCTGCTGTTAGCTTTCATTTTAGGGATAACATCATCTTTGACATTTTGCTTAACTTCCCTTTGTGTTCCACAGAAGAAAGTCAGTCATGTGTTTGAAATGACATGAGTGTGAGTAAATGATATTCATCAATTTGAGTGTCCCTTTAAAAATAAAGGTTCCAAGCAGAACTAAATACATTTCCAAAGAACATTTGAATCTTGGATTCTTTAGAAAACCACCTATATACTGGTACGTCACCTACAGTGTAACATCAAGAACTTGTTTTTCTCTCCAAATAACCATAAAGCACTCTTTGGGACCCGTAAACAGCCTCAAAGAAGCAAAACACAACAACCTAACTGACAAAAGGAAAAAAAACAATTAAACTGCACGTCAAGGCTAATCTCATCCAGATAAGGCTGCAAAACAATAAAAACACATTGCTTCCCTGAAGTGCTTCCCAAATAGTAGTTAAAATATGCAAAATCAACAATCAAAACATCAGTGCTAGGGTTCAGACTGTTAGGTGCCGCGCTCAGGGAAGCAGGTGTCAGTTTGAGGGGGCTTTGAGAGTTCAGAATGTCGTTAGAGAGGAAACTGTGGGCGCGAGTCACACTTTGACTTGCAGCTGCACCGAGCTGACGTGCAGGAACTACTGACCTGTGTGGCGTTGGAGGCAGGGCAGGTTTCATGGAGTTGATGGGGTTCATCGGAGGAACCTAGGGGTCTATGGGACACCCCGAATCTCCTCAACCTAGCAGGCAGTCTGCGAAAGAAAAAGAAAGAAAGAGAGACCAGTTAGAGTGACAGCACTCAATTAAAACAAAGGCTCCGTTCCGCTGTGACTCAGGCAGACGCCTAACGCCACTGTAGTGGCTTTAACCAACTTCATTTGGAGGGCTCTTGGATGGCTGCGGTTCTGCCCAGAGGCACGAGGGATTAATCAACAACTGACTGTGCCAGCACATCTTTCTCCGTGCTTTGATAGGGTGGGTTTTGCAATTCCACCATAGCCTTTCCACCAATCACAGTTTAAAAAGCAGCCAGAGCCACACACAAAGGAGCGAGATTTGACAGCATGTGGCATCTCTCTGGCTGCTGCACCGCAGTCGAGAGAATCTCGAGAATGCAGTGCCCGAGACAAAAGCCGGTGAAAAGCTTGAGCTTTAAAACAGAGCGACTGGTCGCAACGGTGGACGACCCAAACGCTACGTCTTACTGCAGGATCCTCACGCTCTCTGCAGCGCCGGGGAAGGAGGGAGAGAGTGAGGGCTATTTATAGCACGAATTGATTTCAAAAAGAAAAGAGAGATGTGGAAACATGGTGGTTCTCAGGGCCGCTGCCGCCGCCACCGCTTTGAGATCCGAGCCCTCTGCGAAGAAAAACGCCTTCAACCCCGCTCAATTATTTAAGCCATCAGGGAGCTTGTTCCGACCAAAGAGGGTGCTTCTTTGTGCGAGTGCGTTTAGATTGTACAACGTTAATAATGACAACAAGACCCCCTCCGCCCCACCCCACTGCCTCTCCGTCTGTCTCTGCTCTCAGGGGTGAAGCTTGATTAGCGCACATGCTAATTTGCCGCCAACATCAGTGGCTGTCAGTCCCCCTACACCCCTAACACTCTCTCCACCCCCTCAACATCCCTCTCCGCTTCCATTTTCTTCTCCTTCCTTACAGATTTAGGTCAGACACCCCACAGCTTGAAAAGAAAGGTGGATGAACGCCGCTGCGTCGAGGGGGGCTGCAGGAATAGTCACTCAGAGGAGTGACAGAGTTGATCATAGAGAGGTTCACCTACAGGGATAATGAGAGGATCGAGCGGAGGATGAGAAAGGGAGGTGGGCGGCAGCGACAAAATGAGATCCTCCATTGTTGTGTTTTGATAACCACTTGACTGAAGCAGGCCTAGCAATATTTACATGCTCACGTGGCTGTTTTCATTAGCAACTACACCAGCTCCGTCCTTGTAAAGAGCTGTTTATTAAACCCGTGTCTGATTTCAGTCTCTTTTCGATGCTATACTGAAGGATTTGTCTATTTATAGTTTGTGCATGTTCTTACAACTAGGGATGCATAATATATGGGTGAACACCAAAAAAGACCCCCTCAACCACTACTAACATAATTCACTTCAAAAGTATATAGAATAATAGGTTGCATATTTCTCAAGGTTTGTTTGATTAGGCTGATTAAAATATTAACTACAAATTTCGTTAATCATTATTAGGGAATCATGGATATTTTTATAGTAAAAATAAAAATAAAATAAAATACACACACATACATACATATATATATAAAATATGAAGAGTTTGGTTCCAAAACGCAATAAACGCCATTTAAAAAAAAAAAAAGTGAGTTTCCGCCAAAATCTGTATTGTATCTGGTCGGTATTGAAAAGTCCTTTTTTTATTTTACGCAAAATGTAATATTCGCCGAGTTATTCTGTCATGTTTTCTCCCTTTTTTTCCAAACCGTGACAAACGTCAGTTTCCCTTTTCTGCAGAATGCGATATATCTGCTCAACCAAACACAGCGCACCATTCCACGCACTGTAAGCGGTAACAATCAATCACAGCGCACCATTCCACGCACTCTAGACAGTAATGGCGGCGCTTTGAATACACCCGGCATCCTAGTTTTCCTCATTTATTTTGTACTTTGTGATCAACAAACAAACAAAAATTAGGGCTGCATGATAAATCACATGCGATTGTCATGCGCATCTCGTCAGTAAAGCCAGTTCTGTGAATAGTAAACCATCACGTGCTTTCAAATGGAGCGGAATTTAATTCACAGATGAGTTGCATTCGATTATGAACGCGATATTGCGTAGCTTGTTAGTGTAAGTGTTTTTATTTATGCCATTAATGTTTTTGTTAATACAGCGTATAGCACTAGTCAACTAAATTAATGTAACATGGCAAAGATGAATGCACTTTTAGAAGTTGAATGTAAGCGAAATGTCATTTTGGAATTTCTGTGGTTTAATGTGATATTGTTGTTCATGTATGTTCATGATGAAATTTTCTTTTATTGTTGTAACTAATTTATAACATTAACAAGATGACCCGTTGAATTCTTTTTGGGAGCGATGACTGATTGAATGTATTTTTAGTCCCGTGCCTGTATATAAGATTAGTATTGGCCAAGTTCAGAGGCTGTCATATGTGGATCAACTTACTATGTTGTGTATTTTCAACCGTTTCATATGAAAAATAACTTTTATATTGAT